AGCCCCCTATGACAGATGGGGAAGCTGAGACCCAGCATGCTGACTGCTCCGACCTCCCATAGCTGAGTGAGAGGCAGAGCCAGGATTCGAACCAGGAGGGGCTGGCCGCTGTGTCGGGATGACTACAATCCCACCGGGTCCCAGCTTGCCTGGGAAAATGACTAACAGTGCCGGAGGTGGGCTGGCAAGTTCTGCGGGCAGCCTCTGTTTGGTGACCCTGGATCTTCCTGGAGTTTATCTTTCCTTCCCTCTAGGCCACCCCCCCATCCCTCCCCAGTACACATCAGGGTCTTCACACATTTGGCTCCTAAGTGTCTGTAGTCTCTGCAGGAGAGACCTCCCAATCTTCCTGCGGACTGGGCGGGGGGTTGTGGGGTGAATCCACCCCTTGGGGTGAGCGGGTGACCCCACTTTGATCTACCAGCCTATTCCACCTCTAACCCTGGGATTGGCTTGCAAGTGACCATGCGACTCACACCGGCCCCAGGAGAGTCTGGGGATTTCGGGTGGGAGCTGAGAAAAGAGGTGCCATTGGCTATGGAGTGGTCGGGGTGAGAGGGCATGAACCTGCAGCTGTCAGACCCCCCCAACTCCGCCCCCTGCACCCCGCAGGGAGGACCTGCCGGAGAGACAGCAGCAGGGGGCATTGTTGAGGGGACTTCAGGCAGCAGGCAGGGCGGGACCAGGGACTCCAGAGGTCCCTCAGAGACCAGCTGCCACTGGCTTTACAGTCACACTGGCCGCAAATTCCTCTGGGCACAAGCCAGTCTGAGAAGGGCTAGTCCTCTTTACAGAGTGCCCGCGGATGGATATACTCGACATGCTGGCTGACAACAGCTTCTCGACAGACATCTCCCAAAGGCCTTTAAATCCACTGCCTTGGCCTCCACCTGGCAGAGAGCGGAAGCGGCCCAGTCCCGCTTTTCAGACAGAACCTCGAGGCTGCACGCGTCTACGACGCTTGGACCAGGGTCTAGAGCCTGCTGACCAACAGAGCCAGGGCCAGGCCGGGCCGGCCCTGCGTTTATTTGGAGATGATGAGTCCTCCTCACGCCTGACCAAGTCCCCGGGGCTTACAATAGCGCACCGGCCCCTTCAGAGGAGAACCCCAGCAGGCCAGGGAACGCGCCCTGCATGGATGCTGGTGCCCGGATTCCCCCTTGCTAAGCAGGTGGCAGTCTGGGCTTCCCAGAGCCCGCCCCCAGGTGGTCTTGAGGTGGAGGGCTGCCCACCCCACTGGCGACTGGCAGCTGGCTGGTGTTGGATCTCTGGATTCCCAAGGACGCGCCGGGCATGAGGGGGCTCTTGCTCAATGTCCTATTTACTTAAAGGACACAAAGTGGGCCTGCCCCTCCTGTCCTCTCCCAGGCCCTCTCTTGCCACTGCTTGGGTAGGCCGCTCCTGTTCAGTGACTGCGAGATTCATGCAAAATTAACCGGAGGCTCCGTTTCACAGAGCTCTGGGGTATCCGGTTCCTGCCCCACTCCTGCTGCACCCAGTCTTCTCCCCCCCACCCCTGCCCGCCATGCTGGGCTGCAGACACCCCACCAGAGCGGACCTTCACCCCGGCCCTTTCTTTCAGGTGCCTTTGCCGACACCAAGGGGTGGTGGTGGGGATCCAAGGGGCAGGGCTGTGGGTCCCCCCGCCCATGAGAACCCGCTCCGGGCTTGGGGGCGGGGGTGTGTCTGGGTCCTGGGCTAGCCCTGCAGCTTCCTGCCCCAGCCGGCTCCTCCCTTTGCTCTTTTTGCAAATGTCTCTGGGTGCTGGGAACAGGGTGGAGCGTGATGAACAGCTTCTGCCTCTAGGGACTCCTGGCTCATCCTCACACCGGCCACCCGCCTTAGAGCTGAGCCACAGAGCCACTTCTTCCCAGGGAACCACATCATCAGATGGCCCAATCTTCCAGGAGACAGGGCCCGGGGAGGCGTTTGCCAGGGTAGGCGTTTAAAAAGCAGACACTCGAGAGAGCGACGCCGGCAGTCGTTGCTGAGTTGAGGAACCCGTGGCGAGCCCACGCGTGGCCGGCGGGGCTGCTCTCTGCCGGGCACTCAGTGGCCGGCTTTTCAGGAGTCGATGCGATTGCCAGGCCTTTCTGCTGAGGGCCTCAAAGAGAAAGGAGACCGCCCCCTTTTCCTCGGCAGCTGAGCACACTCACCATTTGTACCAACCCGGGCCTGACCACGATGATGGCGATGGCCACCCTTTTGTCAGTGGTGGCCGGCTGTGCGGCTTGTCTCATGTCATCTCATCCCTGCGAGGTCCTGCTGTGAAGGCCCCGTTTCACAGAGAGAGCAGCCGAGGCTCAGAGGGGCCGAAGGGGACTGTCAACCTCAAACTCACTGGTCCCGAGTTGATGCCGAATCCTCAGTGGTCCTACAGGGGAGAGGAGGGCTGCGCCCGTGGGCTTCCCAGGCTGCACATGTTCACGGGAGTGGAAGGTCTCACCTTTCTCCTGCAGCATTCAAACTTGGGGCCTCAAAGCCCAATGTGTAGCCCACCACATCACCAGGGCTCCCCAGAACTCTCCCAGGGTCTCTCCAACAGAAAGCGCATGAGGACGGGCACCCCAGCCTCTGGGCCGGCCCGTCTGGGTGGAGGGCAAGGAGAAGACACACGGCGCAGGGCACTCTCCTGGGTGGAACGGACCCACACAATGCACTGGGCAAGGAGAGGGCCACCGACTGGGGCGAAGACTGCCCCGGTGGCCTCACAGGGGCCAGGACTGGGCGTCCCCACAGCCGGCTCCTAGGAAGAGCTGCTGGCACTGTGGTCCACATCCCGCATGGGCAGCGGCTTTCTCCCTGCTTCAAAGCCCATCCTTCACCCGCAGGGATTTTATTAACTTGGCAGGATGTGAAGCAGAGGGCTAATTGAGGCAGGGCCTGAGGCGGCTGCCCGCACCGTGACTCTGGGATGCAGGGGCTGCCAAGAGCAGTCAACCTGAGCCCCTCGGGCCAGTGCCACCCAGCCCCCATCACTTTAAGTTTGGGCTGGGTTTCAATTCTGGTCACAGGGGCAGGCCCAGCGCTGCCCACGAGGGGACCCAGAGCAAGCATCCTGAGCGCTCCACCTGCCATGTCTGACAGTTTGCACCTGGGCTGATCCCGGTAGGGAGGAGGGGGCGGCTCAGGGACGTGGGACACCTCAGCCTGGTGACAGATGAGCTGCATTCAAAGTGGGGGTGAACTTGAGCCCCATGCTTCTCACCTGTAAAATGGGGTGACAATACCCCCTTCCTGGGCACCCCCAGTGCAAGCACTGCACAGCCCGCCTTTCCCAGCTCCTCCTGAGGAACGGCCGCTTCCATGACCCCACTCGGTGCTCACCCCCCTTTTAAGGGTGGGAAAACAGAGGCTGGGGCCAGACCCCAAACACCGACACAGAACTTCCCTGCTCCAAAACGCCCCTACGAGGGACCATTCATTCGTAGGACCCCATTGACTCGAGGATATGGGGCAAAGAGAGGCTGGGGTGCGCACGTTCCCATGGGTAAGTGGCAGATTGGGATCAGGACCACCCCAGGGTGAAATCTGCAGCTCTGTGCTTTCCTGTCCCTCCCGCGTCTCTTCCTACGCTGCTCTCCCCTGGGGATCCTTCCAAGGACCCAGAAGGCAGCATTCTGAGATTCAGGGCTGCCCCCTTCTCGGGCACCCACGCATAGCAGGAAACCAAGGCCCGGTGCTAGTGCGGGTGTGGGTGCGGGTGGGGGTCAAAGGAGGCTGGCAGGAGGTGGAGAGATTGAGGGGGCCGTCCTTGCTTTTTCTGTTTCACAGGTGAGGAAACGGGGTCCCCGTTACTTCCGTGTGGCTTCTGTGGGCCTTCAGGAGCCGCTGCCCCATGGTGCCCCTCAGCTGCCCTCTCTCCCCTCACCAGCTCAACAATCTCCAGGAAGCCTTCTGGATCTTCACTGCCCACCACTCCACCCCTGTCTGCACCAGGCGCTCCATCTGGGCTCGACCTCCGTGCTACTCGGGCTGCCCGGCTGTCTGGGAGGTAATCCCTGTGGCCACTGGTACTGGCCACTTACACCAGGCACCGGCCCACTTTCCCAGACAGAGGAACCGAGGGTTCAACCGAGACTCCCATCCATGTGTTTTAGGCCAGGTCAGGACCCCTCACCCTCCTTGTGGGCAGCAGTCCCTTGTGGCTGGTGCGGACCCCAGTTCTGATGTCTAAGCCAGGCAATTTCTCTCCCACTGCTGCCCCAGGGTCCAGAGGAATCCCTAAACACAGAACCCCTCTTTCCAGAGATCCCACAACAACGAGAATGTCCCCTCACCCCTGACACCAGGGCAGTACAAGCAGGGCCATCTGCCTCCCTCTCATGATGGCCCATCTCCCGGTGCCCCCGGAGTCCCCCAGCCCCAGTCAGAGCCTGGATTTGGAGGGCAGGGTCTGATCCCAGCCTGGCGGCAGGGTGGGGTGGAGGGGGATTGGGGCCCGGACTAAAGGGCAGGCGGGGTGGCTAGACCCTAAGGCCAGTCCTGGGTGGTGGGGGGACAGGTGTGCAGGCAGAGCAACTGAGCCTTGGTGCAGGCCAGGGAGGAGTGTCCATGGTGGCCCTGTCCGGTCCCTTTCCAGCCCCTCCCTGAGGCAGGAGGTCTGCCATCCAGGATGAACCCTAACGGTGTGGCTCCACCACACCCTCACCCCCAGCCCCGACTCTCTGCAGGGGTCTGGGGTCCAAGCCAGCACCTGGTGTGGGACAATGGGGGCCGGTCCCTGGAACTCAGCCAGCATGCTCTAGAATGGCCCCATGGATTGTTCAGCCAGTGTCGGAAACCTAAGCACATACACACTGACTGTGACTGACCGAGTTCCGGTAACAGCTGCCCCGAGCAGGACTTCTCTCCCTAGGGGTTCCCATGGCCGACTTTTGTAAGCAGCTCACCAGGCCTCTCCTGCAAGGCGCCTCTGGGAGGACTCAACCTCGAAGCTTGTCTTCCCGTTCAGGGACTCCTGAACCCCTCCCCTCAGCAGGGGGCCGGGGCACACCTACCTTCCACAGGTGAGGTCTTGAGGCGCCGGCAGATGGCTTCGGTGTCCCCATAGGTCTCCTTGACCTTGACCACCGCCTCCGTGCCCCGCAGCTCCATGAGGGAGCGCAGCTCCTCCATCGTGCACCCGAACTCGCCCCCACGGATCGACTCATTTCTTTGGTTTTTGGAGTAAAAGTCGCTGTTGGTCATGTCACCCATGATTGCCACAGTCCCTGCCTGGGGTGAGCCCGAGGCCCCTGCCTATCAAGAGGGTGCTGGGAGATGGCCCTTGGGCTGCCTTCAGCTCAACCTCGCTGGACGCCTGTGGCTCCCGGACACGGAGTCTGGTTCCTGGGCACAGGGGGTGGCTCAGGAGGGCTGGTGACAGTAGTGGGGAGCACCAGGGGGTGCCTCCAGGTGTAGGGTGCAGTCCAAGGGCCAGAGAGGCTCAGCGTTGCAGACTCAGAAGTCCCCATTCATTGAAGCCCATGCTGTGTCCCAGAGCTGGCATCTACATGGTCAGGGGTGTCGGCTCCTGCAGAGATAAGCACAGAGGCGGGGACAAGGGTCAGATGGCTGCGGGCTTCATGAGAGAGTTGCTCAGGAATTCCCCCACTGTGCGTACACACACACACACACACACACACACAGGCACTGGATTCACCTGTGCACACACATGCACACATGTCCACACATCTGCATGTGTATATATAACATGCGCACATGCACCCACATTTGCATGTGCACATACCACATGCTCACACACATTGCATGGGCACATATAACATGCCCGCACACATGTACGTGTACACACACATATGCACACATAACACACACATAACACACACATAACACACACTCACACACACATAACACACACTCACACACACATAACACACACTCACACACATGTGGGCACATATAACACACATGCACACATGTATGTGCACATACCGCATGCTCACACACATGCATGGGCACATGTAATATACACACATGCCCGCATGTGCATGGGCACATAGACAATCAGCATCATGATTGACACTTGAGACATGTTCATTCTCACTTGAGTCCTTCTTACAACACCTCAGACCACACCTACACACACCGCCAACCCATATGGTGCCAGCACCCACCCGACTCTCAGCACACCACCTGAGCAGAGCCGCAGCCTGGCAATGCCTTACCATTGTGGCCCCCCTCCCCCAGGTGCTGTTGCCCCGTGACACACTGCCTCACACAATCTGGAGCGTGTCCTCGACCACATACTGCTAGGCCCTGCCCCATAGACAGACCCCGCCGCATCAGCCCTGTGTCGCCCCCACGGGTACTCTGAAGTCACACATGGCACACTTTTGGGCTTACACTTATGTTCCCACCACCTTCCTCCTGGAGCAACTGCTCTCTCAGCCCTCTGTCCCCACGGCCCCCATCGGCACCATCCAGGGACCACCCCTCCCCTCACACAGACACGCACGAGTCCCCAGGCCCCACACCTCCTCCCATATCCTACCACCTGCACCCAAAGATACACGACTGTGTCCCCACACTCCCTCCCTTTCCCGGGCAGCAGACCTGGGTGGGGTGGGAGGGCTGGGGGGAAGTTGACTACCTCCACCCACACCACAGCCCCCACCAGGCTAGAGAAGCCAGCTTATGCATATTCATGAGGACGGCATTCATCCCAGAGCCAGACCCCCGCCCCTCCGGGCAGAAGCCCTCACCTGGAGGAGTGCCCCACAGCCAGCACCTCGGACAGCGGCCGACTGTCCCCACGGGAGCAGGAGCGCTGCTACTGCTGGGCTTCAGCAGAGAATCCAATCCGCTCAGACACCCAACACCGCGAGCAAGCGTTGGGTGACAAAGGGCCCCTGATGAGCTCGGCTGAGCCTGGCACGGGCACCAGCCCCACCCGCAGCTCTGGACAGCTGGCCATCCTAGGCCCCAGCAGAGAGAAGGGAGTGGGGAGGGAAGAGGCCTGGGCCCCTCCCTCAGTCCCACGCCTCCATCCTGTCTGGGCTCTCTGGCCACGCGGCCACTCCCGCACCTGAGGTGTTTCAGACTTAATCTGGAGTTTGCCGAGGAAGGAGCTTGTCCTGAGCCGGGGGTGCAGAGAGTCAAGGGGCCCAGAGGGGGCTTGTCTGCCTCCCCCAGGGTGCTCTCTCCTTCCTGTTTGAGAAGAGGAGGCTAGTGGTGGACTGTACACAGATAGACATATAAATGCAACAAGGAAGCAGATGGACGTTGGGCAGCTACTTAAATCTTACCTCAGTACAAGAATGGTTTCTTCTAGTAATGTGGCAACGTATGATGCTCACCTTCCTGACACGATGCCCGAAGACAAAGTGGGTGCATAAGCAAATGTGGTGAAGAAAGCTGATGGTGGCCGGCTATCAAAAGATAGAGTCTGGGGTCTTACAGGCTTGACGATAAACAAGCAGTCATCTAGCAGGGAAGCAACAAAGCCCACATGGAAGAAGCACACCAGCCAGTGTGATCATGAGGTGTCGACAGGAATAGGTATCAGAAGTTCAAAAACAAGTAATCGGATTGATGTGAAGGAGCATAGTCAAAGTGAAGACCCCAAACCTACCTGTAAGATAACTGAAAGGCCACCTGGAAGGGATGTCATATCCAGGGTGTGGTCTAGCACTGATGAAACAGACAACTATCCTCTAGTTCTTCAATACCTCCTCCCTATCATGGTCTTTGTTTTACTTCGTTAATCTTGTTGGACCTCCGTATGTTCATTTGTATAATTAAGATCATTCTGTGTATGACAGCCAAGACAGAGAACCCTTCAGAAACAGTAACGGGAATATGGAAGTACATGGGAAGAGAGGGGGAGGTGGGGGGAGGGGGAGCTTATAGTAACGATGACTGTATAATCCCAGTAGAGGGAATGGAAACAGAATTGTAGGTGAACGGATACATTGGATGGTCTAAGACATGGCAAAATAATAATAATAATATATCATATAATAATTAGGGTTCCTGGGGGGTAGGGTGGGGAGGGCGGGGATAAAGGGGAGCTGATATCAAAGAGTTCAAGAAGTTCCAGAAGAAGAGTTCAGACAATGTTTTGAAACCAATGGTGGAAGCAGTTGTACAAGGATGCCTGACCTAATTGAATTATGGATTGTTATATCTGTAAGCACTTCCAATAAAATGATTAATAATTAAACAAAGAACACCAACCGCCACCGCCGTGAGTCAGCTCATCCTCCCATGGACCCTGTATGACTCGTAGGCCTGCCTGGGGGTTTTCCAGGCTACCTATCTTCATAGGAGCAGAAAGAAAGCCTCATATTTTTTTACCATGGGGCAGTTGGTGGTTTTGAACCGCTGACCTTGTGGTTTGCAGGTCAGCAGTCTCAGACTCCACTGTACCACAAAGGATCCAGAGTCAGATGCATCTGGGTTCCACCCCTAGTTCTCCTGATGCCTGGCTGAGGGGCCCCCAAAATGAAGCTTCACATTGTCTCTGAGCCTCCACTGCCTCATGTGTGAAGTGGGGATAATGCTGTCCCCTCTCCTCTGCCCCCACACTGCCCACCTTCCGGAAGGGGTCATTTTACTCCAGCCAGCAGCAGTGTGGTTAGCTGTCCCCTGGCTCATAGCAGTCCCCCAGTGGAAGGGAACCCTCCCAGTGCAGCACCATCCCCGTGGCTGGCAGAGGGGGCGCTGCTGTGACCCAGGTCTTCCTGGACCGATTTCCAGATGGGGATTCCCAGGACTTTCTTCCTTAGCTCCTCTGAAACCTGTTCAGAATCACAGCAACACCCACTCCTCCCCGAGAGATGGGGTGGCCCCTGGTGAGGTACACTGGCTGGATGCTGAATGGGGTCTCCCGCATGGAGGGCAGTCCTACCATGGCACCCTCCCTCCCCGTGGGAAGCATCAATTTTTCCCTGGGGTGAGAAGATGTAAAATGGACTTCAGAGGCTCTGTGTGCTAGGGGCTACCTGGCCGCCCTGGTGCAGATCTGCAGGGCTGCGACGCTCCTCAGCAGGGCTGCCACGCTCCTCGGCCACATACACTTGAGCAGTGCCATGGCCCATGGGCTTAGGGCCCCAGGGAAAGCAGGAGGGAGTGTGCTGAGGGTGTCCGGATAACACACCAGGAATAGGAAGGGAAGGAGGCTGGGGTTGTGGGCCAGAGCCCTGGCTGGAGCCTCGGGACTGGGGAGCTGATTTTAGAGGCAATTTTCCAGAACAGGCTTTGGTTTCTCAAGGACAAGAGTCGAGATGAGGAGGCACGGGCCTGCTGTTCTGAAGGAGTTCAGAGCTGACCCGGAGCCCCAGGGAGCTCACCCCTCAGCACTTATCCGAGCACGGCGGGAGAAGGCAGAGTCAGGCAGACACGTATGACCTCAGGCCTGCCCTCAGCATCCTGCCATGGCGGAGGGGTCACTCTGTGACCTGGAACTGGTCAGCGCATGCCTCTGAGTCTTCCTTTTTCTAGCCACAACTTGGGGATGGTCATATACAATGTATCCTAACAGAGGCTACATAAAGATACCATGTGTCATATGTCATAGACTACACTACTGTCGGTTTGTCACATTGTAGTGGCCTGTGTATCGCTAGGCCACCAGTGCTTTAAATACCAGCAGGGTCATCCTTAGTGGACAAGTTTCAGCAGAGCTTCCAAACAAAGACAGATTAGGAAGAGAGGCTTGGCGATCCACTTCTAAGGCTTAGTCAATGCAAATTGCACAGATCCGATTGGGGGCCGCAAGAGGAGCCCTGTTGGTTGGAAGACCCTCCAAGTCCACGGGGGCTGGAACAGGTGGTGAGGATGGCAGAAGATGGGCAACACTGCGCTCTCCTGTGCACGGGGGTGTCCGTGAGCTGGCACTGGCGGAACAGCAGCTACCAGAGACTGGGCCATGCTGCACTGTTGGGTCTGGTGAGCCTGCGAGTGCTTTTCCAGGAGCAAGGCCTGGGGATGGACAGGAGTTCCGGAGACCACAGTTCCTAGGTTCAAATTCTGGCTACTCCACCTCCCACCAGCATGGCATGCAAACAAACAGACTGTCATTTCCGTATCTTCAAGGAGGAGAAACTACAATCCCATGGACCTCACAGGTGTTGTGATGAGACTTGGACGACACATTTCATGTAAAATTCCAGAACAGAGAAGCCCTGCATGGGGAAAGCAATCAGTCAACCCCAGTGATCCTCATGACCAACCCACGTCGCCAAATCCTCTGGTTTTCTAACAGCACAAAGACAGAGACGGAGGCCAAGGGGGGAGAAGCAGCCTGCTCAGGATCACAGGCCGGGCAAGGGCAGAGCAGGGACTTGCACTCAGAGAGCCTGGCACCCGAGTCTCCCTTGAGGCCAGGTGGTAAATCTCCCTCTTGGGAATGGGTGGTCCTTCAACGAAATGCTGCAGGTGAAAGGAAGGGCTTTTTGCAAGCCACAAGGGACGCTGCAGCCCCAGGGGCTGCTTTCTGTCGGCAGTTTCCAGGCACTGATAACCACACCTCTGACAGCATCTGCTCTGGAACTCATTAGTGGCCACAGAGGT